ACCACGGGAACCCAGTGTCCCACGTATAAACCTATGTACCTGTCTGGTTTAATAGGGATTTTAGGAAAAAATGTCCTTTCAACGTCTCAAAACGGGTTGTATGTGTGTGTGTGTGTGTGTTGTGTGTGTGTGTGTGTGTGTGTGTAGACCTTGTGGGAGGCCCATCTTCCCTCCAGAGCGTGCGGGAGCTCCTGCAGTGGACCGTGGCCTTCTTCAGGGCCAACTTGCGGGCTGGAATCCGGGAGCAACGGAGGATGGGTGTGAGTCTCCTCCTTCTTAACGTACAAGCGGTTGCGGGTCAGGGGTAAGAGTCCACGCATTACTTACATTACTGACTTTACTTACTTAGGAAAGGTTTGCGGTGATCCTGGATGTTCATTTACGTGTTATCAGATAGTGCCAGTTATTTAATAGAGTTATTCACTTTTATTGGTTCCCAACAGTGGGGGATGATGTTCAGTGTCACATTACAGCAGAGGGAAAGAAGGGAAAAAAAGACTCTCGGACGGCACACAATCAAACAAGGCACTTTTATTTAAGATAATAGACAATTAGAATCATAATGAGATGAGATGGTAAAATTAGAATAAAAAAAAAATGAAGCTATAAGTCGGCACGTGGTTCAGGAAGTATTTACAGATGCGTATAATGTACTTTAGCAGCAGCGAATATGAGGCAGAATACACATCTCGTAACCAATATCAACAGGTCAAGTAATATAAGTTACACAGTGAAATTATTATCAGTAGACACTTGTGCAGGACTCAGCAGTTCTCGTTACACATTCTCGTTGTCCAGTCTGACCAGCCGCCCACACCCCCCCCCCCGCCAGCAGCAGGAGGAAGGACCTGCGTAACCTGTCCATCACACACGTTGAGGGTGAATAAAAATGGGGGGGGGTTTCGGGGGGGTTTTCCACTGAGACTGTAAACTTATTAAAATTCTTCCCCCTTCTGGCATGGTCCTGATCACATACATTACAAATAGGAATATAATAGATTAGATTTTGAGGAAAGCTGGAGGACCACAATCACATATTGGATGGTGGTTATATTAAAATACTTTTTCATGCCACTGTATTTCTCACTACATGTGAGAATATGTTAGCAGTGGCGGCACGGTGGCTGATGTGGGATCAGTCACTCTCGCCTCTCAGCAAGAAGGTACTGGGTTCGAATCCCGGTCGGACCAGGCCTTTCTGAGTGGTGTTTGCATGTTCTCCCCGGTGTCTGCCAATAAATTAACAATTGTGACACCGCTTTGAGACTTCAGATCTGCATGTGAACATGGCGGTATATAAATTAAAAAAAAACGTACTTACTTACTTACATGTGTGTGTGTGTGTGTGGGTTGCAGATCAGCTGCTTCCCGGCGCTGGCGTCCGACCTCCATGCGCTCCGTGGGTTCCGGTGGGCTGGGGGGGTGTCCTGATCTTTCATTGCCGGTCTGGCTCTGGGCTGTTCTGTTCACTGCCAGACGGCTGTTCTCCGGACTTGGACCCACTGACCCCTGAACCCTCAGGGACTATTCTACAACATGTTTACGTGAGCCTCGTCACATGGACCATCTGTTATCAGTGATTTTCACAATCTTTTCTTGTCTCATGCTCATAGAGTACATCATTTCAAGACCTTTCACTAATAACCTTCATTTGAAGGAGCTTTACCCGTGTCTTGTAAGGTTTTTGAATGTTTCCCCATACGGCTCTCATCTAGTTTTATTTGCGATCTGGTACGGATGCTAACATTAGCATGAGCGCAACTCTTGTAAGCTGTACAACAGTCACTGATGAAAAGTAAACGCACTTGCCTCATCAAAAACATATAACTGAAGGATTTACTGCAAGTTTCACGTCGGAATGTAGTTCCTACCATCGATAGTCCCGCAGGTCTCTCCTAGAAGGATACGAGGTAAGCTAGCTATGTTCCCACGGGCTTGATAATGATTTCTGCTTCTGATCATGTTCTGGCTTTAGTTTCCTACTTCTCTTCCCTCACTGTTGTGTCGTTTGGGCTGTTTTGCTGTGTTGCAGTTACAGCCAGAGGAGTTGATGCTAACATGCTACTGTGTTTAGCAGCGCTGTAGGAGGCCAAGGGACGCAGCCTCGTTCTGTGGCTTGGAGGAGATGCGGGCGTCACGGCTAATGTCTCTACTCATGACACTTTTATAACAGCCTGAAGTTTATACACAGCTTGAATACAATGACCTCAAGTTTTATAATACAAACTTGTAAGTCATTAATAAGGATTTATTTGTATTATGAAACAAACGTTGGGGTATAGCTTCTTTTATGTATAGATCTGGCTCTTAAATCTTAGTGTGATGTGAAATCATTAATTCACAAGAAAAGTGACGTGTTCCGTTTGAAGGCCCGCTCAAATTTATACACTCACCCACACACACATCGAGCTCACGTTTCACACACACACCACACTCCTCACACACACACACACACACAAGTCACGTTACACTCACACACGTCACGTTTCACTCACACCACACACCCACACACCACACACACACCACACAAGTTCACGTTACACTCACACACGTCACGTTTTCACTCACACACACACACCACACACACACGTCACGTTTCACACACTACACACACATGTCACGTTTCACTCACACACACACACACTCACTCACACACACAACCACACACACAGCATGACGTCACACCCAGCCGCTATGGCCTACTGTAAACACTCATATCACATGACGAGGTCTCAGCGATCATCGGTTGTTTTCATCTTTACCTTGACTTTCACTCGGACCACCCACCTCTCGTTCCTCCCCAGCCATGTCCACACCGCAGCCCGGATCAACCTCTGGGGAAGACAGCCTCCTTCTCCATAAGACAACAGCAGCATGTTGGGTCCTAGACTGAAGCTGGGACTGGGACCAGGACCAGGACCAGGACCAGGACCAGGACCGGGGCCAGGGACCGGGCTGGTACTGGCCGGTAGACAGGAATTGACAGCCGGTTGCAAGGGGCATAGATCCACGGTTCGGCGGGGACAACGGCGGTGGTGGATAACAGACGATTTTCGCGATTTCGGTGCCGTTCTGTTATTGTTTTCTGCTGCCATCTCTGGTCAGAGACAGACAACTGTCCAATTAATGCTACACATTTATCATTATTATTTTACCCTTTTGATATTCATGTTTCCATATTTTATTTACTTTTGTTTCTATTTTTTATTTGTTTATTCATTTTTAATTAATGTATTATTTTATGTTATTTTACTGCAATATTGATGTATTGTGATTTATCCAAGTTTTATTTCATCTTACATATTTTTTCAATTCTATGGTTTATATTATTTTATTAATTATTATCATTATCATTCTTTCAATATTAATTTATATCGTTCACTTTTTGTACTATTTATAATTTCATATAATTTACTATATGTTTTTTAAAAAAGTATTATTATTATTACGGTCGTTACTAAGTTAAATATTACGCTTAAATATTATTATATATTTTATATTATTTCACCTTTCTCGCAAGCTCAGCCTTCGCTGCTGATCTTTTTCCCATCACACACTTCTGCCAGGCTCTCATCAGCGAACCGTAATACCTGTCTTCTTGACTGATTTACGTAGTCAAACAAATAAATAAAACAACCTCAAATTAAGTCTCATAAATTAAATTATGTTTTTGAGAGTAAACATGAGCTATCATAGCCTCCAGTTAATATATTTGATCTTTGCGGAAGTGCGTCCGGGTGAAAACGTCCAGCCTTCAGCTCAGCAGCGGTGCAGCTACAGTAGTAGATGTGATTTCTCTTTTTTTTTTTTTTTTTTTTTTTTTTTTTTTTTTTTTTATTTTTTTTTTTTTTTATGCTCTTTACATTTGTTTTACTTGTCTTTCTGTGGATATTTTGGACTCGCTGCGATGGAAGAAGTGGACAAGATCCTCATCCGTGCTTTGAAACAAGGTGGGCACGTAAGTATCCCCTGCTGACACTGCTGATGCTGCTCCTGTGCGGTCTGTCATATGACCATCTGCTGCAGAGACACATTTCCACTGTGCTCGAAAGTAAAGTGGGAGATAAATCAGGATTAGCCACACGTTATTACAAACAACACTTAAAGCTGGAGTACCCAACTTTTTAAGGATGAAAAGATGGCTAAATTTACCAGTAAATTGTATTTTTTCCTGTGTGAGATCTATAAAGTCTATCTTATCTGTTCTCTTTTCTAAGTAAAGACGACTACAAACCCAAAGCCCTGGCCTCTGTCAAAAGTTTTGAGTTTGATATTGTATATTTACTGCAATGCACTTGTTGACAATTGATCTGTTTCTCTCTACCCCTGGTCTCTCTCTCTGGCTCTCTCTCTCTGGTCTCTCTCACTGCTCTCTTTCTGCTCTCTTGCTCTCTCTCTGCTCTCTCTGCCGGGGGATCCCTCTCTGGTCTCTCTCTGCTCTCATCTTGCTCTCTCTGCTCCCTCTCTGGTCTCTCTCTGGTCTCTCTCTGCTCTCTCTCTGGTCTCTCTCTGTCTCTCTGGTCTCTCTCTGGTCTCTCTGGTCTCTCTCTGGTCTCTCTGCTCTCTCTCTGCTCTCTCTTGCTTTCTCATGCTCTCTCTGCTCTATCCACTGCTCTTTCCCCCCCCTTTTTCCGCTCTCTGCTCTCTCTTGCTCTCTCTCTGCTCTCTCTCTGCTCTCTCTGCTCTTCTCTGCTCCCGCTCTCTGCTCTCTCTCTCTGGTCTCTCTCTGGTCTCTCTCTGGTCTCTCTCTGCTCTCTCTGCTCTCTCTCTGCTCTCTCTCTGCTCTCTCTGCTCTCTCTCTGCTCTCTCTCTGCTCTCTCTCTGGTCTCTCTCTCTGCTCTCTCTCTGGCTCTCTCTGCTCTCTCTGCTCTCTATCTGTCTCTCTCTCTGCTCTCTCTCTGCTCTCTCTGCTCTCTCTCTGCTCTCTCTCTGCTCTCTCTGGGTCTCTCTCTGGTCTCTCTCTGGTCTCTCTCTGCTCTCTCTCTGCTCTCTCTCTGGCTCTCTCTCTGCTCTCTCTCTGCTCTCTCTGCTCTCTGCTCTCTCTCTGCTCTCTCTCTGCTCTCTACTCTGCTCTCTCTGACTCTCTCTCTGCTCTCTCTCTGCTCTCTCTGGTCTCTCTCACTGCTCTCTCTCTCTTGCTCTCTCTCTCGGACTCTCTCTCTGCTCTCTCTCTGCTCTCTCTCTGCTCTCTCTGCTCTCTCTGCTCTCTACTCTGGCTCTCTCTTTGCTCTCTCTCTGCCTCTCTCTGGTCTCTCTCTGGTCTCTCTCTGCTCTCTCTCTGGCTTACTCTCTCTGCTCTCTCTCTGCTCCTCTACTCCATCACCTCTCTCTCCCCTCCCCCCGGGCTCTCTCTCGCTCTCTCTCTGCTCTCTCTCTGCTCTCTCTGCTCTCTCTCTGCTCTCTCTGGTCTCTCTGCTTCTCTCTCTGCTCTCTCTGGTCTCTCTCTCTCTCTGCTTCTCTCTCTGGGACTCTCTCTCTGGTCTCTCTCTCTGGAACTCTCTCTCTGGTCTCTCTCTCTGGTCCCTCTGTCTGGCCTCTCTCTCTGGTCTATCTCTGGTCTCTCTCTCTCTGCTCTCTCTCTGCTCTCTCTCTGCTCTCTCTCTGGCTCTCTCTCTGCTCTCTCTGCTCTCTCTCCACTGCTCTCTGCTCTCTGGGCTCTCTCTGCTCCCTCTCTCTGCTCTCTCGCTCTCTCTCTGCTCTCTCTCTGGCTCTCTCTTTGCTCTCTCTCTGCTCTCTCTGGTCTCTCTCCTGCTCTCTCTCTGCTCTCTCTCTGCTCTCTCTCTGCTCTCTCTCTGGCTCTCTCTGGTCTCTCTTCTGGTCTCTCTCTGGTCATCTCTCTGCTCTCTCTGCTCTCTCTCTGCTCTCTCTCTGCTCTCTCTGCTCTCTCTCTGCTCTCTCTCTGGTCTCTCTCTCTGCTCTCTCTCTTCTCTCTGGTCTCTCTCTGGTCTCTCTCTCTGGTCTCTCTCTGGTCTCTCTCTCTGGTCTCGCTCTGGTCTCTCTCTGGTCTCTCTCTCTGGTCTCTCTCTGGTCTCTCTCTGGTCTCTCTCTGGTCTCTCTCTCTGGTCTCTCTCTGGTCTCTCTCTGGTCTCTCTCTGGTCTCTCTGGTCTCTCTCTGGTCTCTCTCTCTGGTCTCTCTCTGGGTCTCTCTCTGGTCTCTCTGGTCTCTCTCTGGTCTCTCTCTGGTCTCTCTCTGGTCTATCTCTGGTCTATCTCTGGTCTCTCTCTCTGGTCTCTCTCTGGTCTCTCTCTGGTCTATCTCTGGTCTCTCTCTGGTCTCTCTCTGGTCTATCTCTGGTCGCTCTCTGGTCTCTCTCTGGTCTCTCTCTCTGGTCTCTCTCTGGTCTCTCTCTGGTCTTTCTAGTCTCTCTATGTTCTCTCTCTCTGGTCTCTCTGTTTTCTCTCTGGTCTCTCTCTGCTCTCTCTCTCTCTGGTCTTTCTAGTCTCTCTATGTTCTCTCTCTCTGGTCTCTCTGTTTTCTCTCTGGTCTCTCTCTGGTCTCTCTCTAGTCTCTCTCTGCTCTCTCTGATCTCTCTCTAGTCTCTCTATGTTCTCTCTCTCTCTGGTCTTTCTAGTCTCTCTATGTTCTCTCTCTCTGGTCTCTCTGTTTTCTCTCTGGTCTCTCTCTGATCTCTCTCTAGTCTCTCTATGTTCTCTCTCTCTCTGGTCTTTCTAGTCTCTCTATGTTCTCTCTCTCTCTGGTCTCTCTCTCTGGTCTCTCTCTGGTCTTTCTAGTCTCTCTATGTTCTCTCTCTGGTCTCTCTCTCTGGTCTCTCTCTGGTCTTTCTAGTCTCTCTCTGCTCTCTCTGCTCTCTCTGGTCTGTCTCTTATCTCTCTCTGGTCTCTCTCTGGTCTCTCTCTCTCTGCTCTCTCTCTGGTCTCTCTCTGGTCTTTCTAGTCTCTCTATGTTCTCTCTCTCTCTGGTCTCTCTCTGGTCTTTCTAGTCTCTCTATGTTCTCTCTCTCTCTGGTCTCTCTCTGGTCTCTCTCTGTTTTCTCTCTGGTCTCTCTCTGGTCTCTCTCTCTGGTCTCTCTAGTCTCTCTCTGGTCTCTCTCTCTGCTCTCTCTCTGGTCTCTCTCTGTTTTCTCTCTGGTCTCTCTCTGGTCTCTCTCTCTGGTCTCTCTCTGGTCTCTCTCTAGTCTCTCTCTGCTCTCTCTGCTCTCTCTGTTTTCTCTCTGGTCTCTCTCTGGTCTCTCTCTCTGGTCTCTCTAGTCTCTCTCTGGTCTCTCTCTAGTCTCTCTCTGGTCTCTCTCTAGTCTCTCTCTCTGGTCTCTCTCTCTCTCTGGTCTTTCTCTGGTCTCTCTCTCTGGTCTCTCTCTCTGGTCTCTCCAGTCTCTCTCTGGTCTCTCTCTCTGGTCTCTCTGGTCCCTCTAGTCTCTCTCTGGTCTCTCTCTGGTCTCTCTCTGGTCTCTCTCTGGTCTCTCTCTCTGGTCTCTCTAGTCTCTCTCTGGTCTCTCTCTCTCTGCTCTCTCTCACTTCTGCATTTATGAGTTCAGGTGGTTAGAAAAGTCCATAAAGTGTGTGAGGGGTTTTCCAGCCTTAAACCCTTCAGCTGCGGCTCTCAGTATTTCAGAGTATTTTTACCGCTGCGATAAAGAAGGAACCTGAGGCTTCTTTCACTCTGCCGTGTCTTCATCTGCCACTGACCCACATCCTCGCTCCTGACTCAGCAATTTCTTCATCCTACCTCCACTCTACTCCCTTTGACTTATCGCTGCCTCGGCCTTGTTTTCCCTCCGACAGAGTGCGAGACCTATAGCTCTGCGCTGTCTGCTAGTTATCTTGTCATGAAGTGGCTGCAGCTCCCTGGCTCTCAGCGGGTGATGGATGGACTGAGGAGAAGGAGAGGGAGAGCCCACTACAGCCTTGTTAACAGCCCTGAAGGATTGTTTCCCACAGCCTTGCATTTTTCTCCAAGGCCGTTTTTGCTGATTACATTCTTAGAGCGTCACTTTGCTAACATCTGTGTACATTTGGATGCCAGACGTGACGTGGGGAGCGGCCAGTGGGGATGCAAACACAGCTACAAATCAGCAGTTAAATATTGCTTTTGGGGAGGGGCCAAAGATGAGACAAATGTGGAGGAGGAATCACGAAGAGGAAGGACAGAACAAAGGCTCATTAGCATTTTTATGGTGTGCAGTCGGGTCAGGGGGACGCAGGGTTCAAGGCTCTTTATGAACTCAACACGAAAGCTCGGTTCGAGTGATAGGACCGATGACGATGCACTGAAAAATATGTGTTTGAAACTAATCTGATGCATTGGGCCAAACATGTAAATGACTAAATAAGCAGAGAGTAGGAGGAGCTGTCACCCTGCTCCCTTTGGACCAATGAGACTTTGGACCAATGAGACTTTGGACCAATGAGACTTTGGACCAATGAGACTTTGGACCAATGAGACTTTGGACCAATGAGACTTTGGACCAATGAGACCTGTGTTTGAACTGATTCTCTGATCTGTTGTTGAGAAATCCACAACTTTATAAAGTCCTCTAGTTTCTATGTAGTTTCTCTCTGGTCTCTCTCTGGTCTCTCTCTGGTCTCTCTCTCTGGTCTCTCTCTGGTCTCTCTCTGGTCTCTCTCTGGTCTCTCTCTCTACTCTCTCTCTGGTCTCGCTCTGGTCTCTCTCTCTGGTCTCGCTCTGGTCTCTCTCTCTGGTCTCTCTCTCTACTCTCTCTCTGGTCTCGCTCTGGTCTCTCTCTCTGGTCTCTCTCTCTACTCTCTCTCTGGTCTCGCTCTGGTCTCTCTCTCTGGTCTCTCTCTGGTCTCTTTCTAGTCTCTCTCTGGTCTCTCTCTGGTCTCTTTCTAGTCTCTCTCTGGTCTCTCTCTGGTCTCTCTCTGGTCTCGCTCTGGTCTCTTTCTAGTTTCTCTCTGGTCTCTCTCTGGTCTCTCTCTGGTCTCTCTCTGGTCTCTCTCTGGTCTCTCTCTGGTCTCTCTCTGGTCTCTCTCTCTGGTCTCTCTCTGGTCTCTCTCTGGTCTCTCTCTGGTCTCTCTCTGGTCTCTCTCTGGTCTCTCTCTGGTCTCACAGCCCACGGTCCTCTTTGCAGAGCGGAGCACCTTGTTTAAAGCTCTCTTTTCTTTATCTGTGATGTTTCCAAACCACACAGACACAGAACCAACAAGTAAACTCTCAATGGTGCAGCCATAAAAGTTAAGCACAATCTTAGAGTTAGCGGTAAATTCTCTAAGTTTACGCAGAAAGTAGAGACGCTGACGAGCTTTCTTAACGACTCGGTCAGTGTTTTTAACCCATTTCAGGTTAGACAGAGTTAAACCCAGAAACTTGCTCCTCTACGATCTGCACCTGGGAGTTGTCGATTACGACAGACAAATGAGAACTATTGCGACTGAAGTCGTGACCAGTTCACATGTTTTTCAAAAATGCAGAAAGGGCCAACGTCTGTGATGTCATAATCTGAGGGTTTGTCATAGTTTGATAAAGATATTGAGACAGAAGGGGCGGGGGGACGTGTTAGTCCTGGGACACAACATTAGGTCTGGTCCAATGAGAAGAGGTGATGTCTCTACCCTGAGGTCTCTCTGTCCTGGTCTCAGTCCTGGTCTCAGTCCTGGTCTCAGTCCTGGTCTGTGTCCTGGTCTCTGTCCTGGTCTCTGTCCTGGTCTCTGTCCTGGTCTCTGTCCTTCTCTCAGTCCTGGTCTCAGTCCTGGTCTGTGTCCTGGTCTGTGTCCTGGTCTCTGTCCTGGTCTCTGTCCTTCTCTCAGTCCTGGTCTGTGTCCTGGTCTGTGTCCTGGTCTCTGTCCTTCTCTCAGTCCTGGTCTGTGTCCTGGTCTCTGTCCTGGTCTCTGTCCTGGTCTGTGTCCTGGTCTGTGTCCTGGTCTCTGTCCTGGTCTCTGTCCTTCTCTCAGTCCTGGTCTGTGTCCTGGTCTCTGTCCTGGTCTGTGTCCTGGTCTCTGTCCTTCTCTCAGTCCTGGTCTCAGTCCTGGTCTGTGTCCTGGTCTCTGTCCTGGTCTCTGTCCTGGTCTCTGTCCTTCTCTCAGTCCTGGTCTCAGTCCTGGTCTCTGTCCTGGTCTGTGTCCTGGTCTGTGTCCTGGTCTGTGTCCTGGTCTCTGTCCTTCTCTCAGTCCTGGTCTGTGTCCTGGTCTCTGTCCTGGTCTCTGTCCTTCTCTCAGTCCTGGTCTCAGTCCTGGTCTGTGTCCTGGTCTCTGTCCTGGTCTCTGTCCTTCTCTCTGTCCTGGTCTCTGTCCTGGTCTGTGTCCTGGTCTGTGTCCTGGTCTCTGTCTTGGTCTCTGTCCTGGTCTCAGTCCTGGTCTCTGTCCTGGTCTGTGTCCTTCTCTGTGTCCTGGTCTCTGTCCTGGTCTCAGTCCTGGTCTCAGTCCTGGTCTCTGTCCTGGTCTCAGTCCTGGTCTCTGTCCTGGTCTCAGTCCTGGTCTCTGTCCTGTATTGTACAACGCTGACACTTCCCCACAGTGGGATGAATAAATGAATATCTTCTACATATCTGGCGCCCGCTCACAGCTGTATAACACCCGCCCCTCCCTCGCTGATCCACATGTGGTTCTACGCTCCCTCAAATCTGGGTTCAGTCCCAGCTGTCAGTACCCCCCACTCCCCTTCAGCCTCCTCTGCCCCAAACTGCTCTCCTGTGAGCCATTCCCGGTGCCACTCGGCCATTTATCAAAGAAACATGCCAGGCCAAACCCAGGCCCACCCAGCCCCACCCAGGCCCACCCAACCCCACCACAAGGCAGCCCACTCTCCCCACAAATGAACCTCCTGTCGCCGTGAGATTGGTCTGATTTACTCCAGACCCAGTTGGCCTCCCGTGTAGACCCTCAGTCCCACCCCTCATTGTCCCGCCCCCGGCCTCCTGTCACTCGCAGCCTGTCAATCACTGCGACTGGCATGGGCTGAACAAAGTAGCGCATTAGCAATTTATTGTGCATAGTCAAATTAGCATCAGGGGTGGGTGGGTCTGGGCTGGGATCCGATTGGAGCAGAGCCTTCAGCCGGAGCCATGTCCACCACAACACTCTCCATCAGTGGAAGAGGAAGCGTTGGGACTCTACAGTTTGGGGATTATACTTTTAAAAACAGAACTCATCTTGACAATCTGGAGATTATTTTTGGTTTTCTTTAACCTGATCATTGGATTTGTAGAAGAGTGGATTGTTTTCCGGGAGCAAAGCGTAATAGTTTATCTTATGCTTTTAGGCAGAACTTAACATAAAATACCAAATCTACAATGTACTGAAAGTGGATTCCTGAAGCAACATGTGTCGTCCGCTGGTACCATGTGTGACACGTGGCTGTTGGCAGAGTGTGACTGGTGTGATGCTGGTGTGTTGGACCCTGGACTTAGACCTGGTGTGTTGGACCCTGGACTTAGACCTGGTGTGATGGACCCTGGACTTAGACCTGGTGTGTTGGACCCTGGACTTAGACCTGGTGTGATGGACCCTGGACTTAGACCTGGTGTGTTGGACCCTGGACTTAGACCTGGTGTGTTGGACCCTGGATTTAGACCTGGTGTGATGGACCCTGGACTTAGACATGGTGTGATGGACCCTGGACTTAGACCTGGTGTGTTGGACCCTGGACTTAGACCTGGTGTGTTGGTCCCTGGACTTAGACCAGGTGTGTTGGTCCCTGGACTTAGACCAGGTGTGTTGGACCCTGGACTTGGACCTGGTGTGTTGGGACCCTGGACTTAGACCTGGTGTGTTGGACCCTGGACTTAGACCTGGTGTGTTGGTCCCTGGACTTAGACCAGGTGTGTTGGACCCTGGACTTAGACCTGGTGTGTTGGACCCTGGACTTAGACCTGGTGTGTTGGTCCCTGGACTTAGACCTGGTGTGTTGGACCCTGGACTTAGACCTGGTGTGATGGACCCTGGACTTAGACCTGGTGTGTTGGACCCTGGACTTAGACCTGTTGTGTTGGACCCTGGACTTAGACCTGGTGTGTTGGTCCCTGGACTTAGACCTGGTGTGTTGGACCCTGGACTTAGACCTGGTGTGTTGGACCCTGGACTTAGACCTGGTGTGTTGGTCCTTGGACTTAGACCAGGTGTGTTGGTCCCTGGACTTAGACCTGGTGTGTTGGTCCCTGGACTTAGACCAGGTGTGTTGGTCCCTGGACTTAGACCTGGTGTGTTGGTCCCTGGACTTAGACCAGGTGTGTTGGACCCTGGACTTGGACCTGGTGTGTTGGACCCTGGACTTAGACCTGGTGTGTTGGACCCTGGACTTAGACCTGGTGTGTTGGTCCCTGGACTTAGACCAGGTGTGTTGGTCCCTGGACTTAGACCTGGTGTGTTGGACCCTGGACTTAGACCTGGTGTGTTGGTCCCTGGACTTAGACCTGGTGTGTTGGACCCTGGACTTAGACCTGTTGTGTTGGACCCTGGACTTAGACCTGGTGTGTTGGTCCCTGGACTTAGACCTGGTGTGTTGGACCCTGGACTTAGACCTGGTGTGTTGGACCCTGGACTTAGACCTGGTGTGTTGGACCCTGGACTTAGACCTGGTGTGTTGGACCCTGGACTTAGACCTGGTGTGTTGGACCCTGGACTTAGACCTGGTGTGTTGGACCCTGGACTTAGACCTGGTGTGATGGACCCTGGACTTAGACCTGGTGTGTTGGACCCTGGACTTAGACCTGGACTTAGACCCAGTGTGTTGTTGGATGAAGCTGGATCCGGCCTCTCAAAGAGCCTGTTGTATTTGACAGAGGCTGCAGGTGCTGTGGACGGGACAGTGGACGGCACAGGGGCCACAACTGCTGCCTCGGGGCCCCAGGACGATGACAGCTCTCTGGGATACACAGGTACGACAGCTGCATGAGTCCGGAGAGTTCATGAGTCCGGAGAGTTCATGAGTCCAGAGAGTTCGTGAGTCCGGAGAGTTCATGAGTCCGGAGAGTTCGTGAGTCCGGAGAGTTCATGAGTCCGGAGAGTTCATGAGTCTGGAGAGTTCATGAGTCCGGAGAGTTCATGAGTCTGGAGAGTTCATGAGTCCGGAGAGTTCGTGAGTCCGGAGAGTTCATGAGTCCGGAGAGTTCATGAGTCTGGAGAGTTCATGAGTCCGGAGAGTTCATGAGTCCGGAGAGTTCGTGAGTCCGGAGAGTTCGTGAGTCTGGAGAGTTCGTGAGTCCGGAGAGTTCGTGAGTCCGGAGAGTTCGTGAGTTCGGAGAGTTCGTGAGTCCGGAGAGTTCATGAGTCCGGAGAGTTCGTGAGTCCGGAGAGTTTGTGAGTCCGGAGAGTTCGTGAGTCCGGAGAGTTCGTGAGTCCGGAGAGTTCGTGAGTCTGGAGAGTTCGTGAGTCTGGAGAGTTCGTGAGTCCGGAGAGTTCATGAGTCCGGAGAGTTCGTGAGTCTGGAGAGTTCATGAGTCTGGAGAGTTCATGAGTCTGGAGAGTTCATGAGTCTGGAGAGTTCATGAGTCTGGAGAGTTCATGAGTCTGGAGAGTTCATGAGGTCTTCACAATCTTCTGTTCAGTCTTTCTTCTGTCGTACTTTGCTTTGAATCTGAAATCAGCCACAACATTGGAGTGTTTTAAATCTCGTCTTAAAACCCACTTTTATTCTCTGGCTTTTAACACCACGTGAGTTGTGTGGTCCCTGTGTCTTTTTAATTTTTTAGTGTTTTACGATTTTTATTGATTTTATAAATTGATTATTTATTTATTTATTTTTTATTCTATTTTTTGTGTACTTTTTTGTGCAGCACTTTGGAACTGTTCTGTTGTTTAAATGTGCTATAGAAATAAAGTGGATTGGATTGGATTGGATTGAAACACAGAGAATCTATGGCCTGTCATCCACAGATCCATCTCAATCCATTGTAGAAACCTCTGAAGCTAAGCAGGATTGCCTTGTTAGTACTGTGATGGGAGACCACTGGGAATACGGTGCATCCCCAAATGTTAGAATGAATCATATTTACTATGTGTGATCTACGCGGATAATATTTAACACACATAAGAGACACAGAATCTTCAATCAATGAGAAAGAAGAAAATAGAGATAACAATAACCAACAATAATTAGACCAACCAGATGCATTGCTGTAAGTGCTAAAACACAGGTGCTAATTTTCAACGCTAGTCCACTGGGGGCAATTTAAAAAAAAAATGTGCACGTGAGAATTACTCTGTTTGGATCGTGACCCCTGTAGTTTTAGCCCAGCGTTGAGAGAGTGCCACAGTTTTACCATAAAGGAGAAGCTGAAGGATGTTCTGTGTTTTGGGAGCCCACAGTCCGCACTGACAGAGGTTCTGGTGACACCTCCATACATTAGCTGTACACGTTTTCCCTTAATTATGTGACGTATAATGAAATAATCTCCGAGTTTATTGTCATTCAGTTTATTGTCGGTGTAATCCTGCAGTAGAGCTTTGCAGACGTGGATGACCCGAACCCTCTCAGTTCTCATGTCCCTCCTTAAACACAGCCTCACGATCATTACACGTGACTTCTGCTCAGCTGCGCAGGAGTGTCTTCAGAACTTCAGGGACAGTGTCAGAAGTTCTAATCCACTTTAATCCCATCTTCGCCTGAGCAGGAAGCAGACTCAGTGGATCGGAATGGACACTAATACCACACGATACTTCCAGGAGAAAAACTGAAGCCATGTCACAGTGTAATCTGCACCAGGTGGAAATATGGAGGAGAGGCGGCCATCTTGGTGTGGTCTGCAGTCATGTGATGTAGACAGGGATTGATTCACAGGGTGTTAGTGAGGGATGATGGAGGAAGGTTTCTGACTGGAATTATGCTCAGACAAGTGATTGTTGACCTTTTACTCCTTTAATGAGTGTTCTTCGTCCTAACAAAGGAAAGTGAGTCCCTATTTGACTCTTTGGGTATCATTTCACACACACTTTTAGAAAGCCTGGTTTCCTTCAGAAAGAGCATTGTTTCCAGATCTGGTCCACTCTCCTCTTCATCACAGAGATGTTTAAGCAGTTGTCACCTTTAACCTGAAGTGTTTGAAGAAGGCATGAGGAGCTCTAACCTTAACCCAAATGGTGTTAAAGGTAAATAATTATAAGGATATATATCCACGCTCTACACTCACAGGTTTAAAATAGACACAAAAACAGTATTGTGAGTACGTGCGAGGACCCCGTGCAGACTCCTGTGCTGTTGGAGCAGGTGTCATTTACAGTCTCTGCCACTAGAGGGAGGCGTTTCACTACTGCAGATCGTGTTGTATCCTCAAGACATACTTTCACATTCTAAAACAGGATATACCAAAAATACAATCTCAGAGGACTTTACAAAATGGTCCAAGTCGCCAACAACAGATCAGAGAATCAAACCGTTCATAAACAGGAAAAACATAGATTAAAACATTGGTCCATAAGAGACAGAGACCAATGTTGTCCATAAATATTGTTCTATGTTAAGTGTCCTGGATCATCTCTGTCCTTAGACCCTCCTGAATCGGCAAGGAACTCTGGAGAACCCCAGTGGGAAAATAGTGAGAAACTTTGGGGAAGCCCAAGTAATCCTTATTATTTTTAACAGTAAAAATGAATGTACATTATGCAACATACGCTGGGACGGTTTGCAGCCGAGTGTGAAGCGGCTGGGGAGAAAATCAGCTCCAAATCTGAGGCCATGGTGCTCGACCGGAAAAAGGTGCCTTGCCCTCTCCAGGACCTGGTCCTCTCCAGGTCCTGGTCCTCTCCAGGTCCTGATCCTCTCCAGGTCCTGGTCCTCTCCAGGTCCTGGTCCTCTCCATCTCCTCTGCAGATGGATTCTGCAGACTCTTTCTTCCCTGCATACCTTTACATTCTCTCCTTTTAAAGAAACACAAACCT